TGTGTGTGTGTGTGTGTGTGTGTGTGTGTGTGTGTGTGTGTGTGTGTGTATACACACACACACACACATACACACAGAGTAAGTACTCTATTTTTATTTCCACTTTAACATCTGCTTTTGCTGTATCTATGTCTGAAGCACTGGGGATAACTTCCAAATGTGGCATTTAGATTAATCCTGCTTCTAATAAACATACCGAAAGGTAGAGAGCTCTGTGCATGTGAGAGTGCATAAGAGTAATTGCGCTGGCAAATGGGGAACACTGTAGTTAGGATTACATATGGACTTCAATCATAAAGCAAGTGAAACAGGGGTTTGTAACTTTCTCAGAAGTTCTCCTTTTGGGCTGTCATTTTCTATGTTCCTTCTCAGCCCAAAAGTGAGTTGTTGCTTTTTAATGTTTGCTCAAAAACTAATACATTTTGCTCAGAATATGGCAGAAAAGTTCTTTTCTGCTTTAAAATCAATTTGACACTGTTTTGCTCAAAGATACGTCAAAATGAGATGAACTTTGAAATTGAAGTTTTCCATGTGACTAGTAATCACTGATCAAGTTTCTTGCTGAAAGACATTTGTTTTCTGAGTGTAGAGTTATGTTATTTACATGGCTACAGAGGACTATATACTTCGACTACTACTTGGATAAGTAACTTGCAATACTCTTGTGCAACAATTTCTCCTACAGAATTTCTTAGTTGCCAAGTTTCTGAATCTTTCATATTTATTCAACTGTGAATGTACACTATGATATCGGTGTAGAAATGAGTATTGTAGACTTTTTCCTTTCTTTTGGTTTTCTTTTAAGAACATAAGAAAAAATGCTGTCCTGGGATGCACACTCTATGCTCCCATTGACTTCAGTGGGAGCAAAAGCTCATATAATACAGCATTAAACTGTTGCATTTGAAATTTAAACAACCATCAGGAAATATTACTATGAGGACCATATTTCAACTTGATGATATTGCATATCCTGTTAATTTTGTTTTTAAAAAAATTAACACGAATAGTATTATTACATAGGAAAAAATGCACATTGAAAGAATGTTTGTTACATAGTCAAGCATTTGAAAGTTAGGAAATGCCAGGGTTAAGGTTACACTTACAATCTGAATTCTTTCCCCTTGTGTATTTGCACTGATAGTATAGCTCATGTACTTAAAGACTATGTATTTTCCACCAATCCCCTGCCTCATTCAGGTCACAGGCCGAACAGTGTTCTGGGAATGAGACAGCTGTTCAGTATTTTTATCCTTGTCATTCAGTGTATGGCATCTGCCATAATTACTGCACACTGTCCAAAGCCTGCGGTGAATACATAAGTATTAATTCCTCATAGTCTTTTTTAGGGTGCTCATCATTGTAGTTTTTAAGTGCCTCATAAATATTAATGAATTTATTTACGCAGTTCCTCTGAAGTAAGAGAGCATTATTAACACCATTTTACAGATGGGGAAAATTGATACGGAGATTTGCTGAAGGTCACACTGAATCAGGCAGAGATAGGATTCGAACTTGTGAGCCCCCTAATTCACAACACCTTTCTCATTCCTATAGACCACTCTTCCTACTGGCAGAGATGCAGAGTGGCCACCATAGCTTCAATTTAACTTCAGTTGCAGCTTAGTGCTCTGCACGTGTGCAAATCTGGCCCCAGGACTCTCAAGTTGGGCACACAGAAAATGAGGAATGCACAGTAGGGGCCACCTGCCAACATTTTGGTTTGTGACTTGCTCCTGATCATACAGAAAGTCTTTGGCATAGACAGGGATAGAGTTGAGTTCTCACGTGTGACGTTCACCAGCCTTAACTGCAAGACCGTTTTTTCTCTTCTGCAGTCCCCTGTCTTTTTTCTCTATACACCTGACAACTTCTACAGAGAACAGCCTCATTCACTGTACAACCCTAGTTCATTCTCTGAATGCTCTCCATCCTGTGCAATGAATGAGTTGGGATCCTGTGGGGGGAAAAAATTTACTCAAGTAATTAAAGACTGTGTCGTAATGCATACCAACAAGGATGCAGAATTAAGGTTTCACAGCCAACATAAATTCTGGAATTTTTTAACTTTCAAGTATTAGACTTTGTAACTAAATAATGTTTTTAATGTAGTGTGAGTGGGTTAAATATGGAAAAATGTAAATAAATAAATATATAGATATATATATATATATATATTTTACAACTGTAACAGCCCCCTCCCATCATGCACCATCAGTAGAGTTAGCTGGAAGCAGAAGAAGGTTGTCCCAGCATGGGTGGGGGGGGAATGGGCTGCTGGAGCCATGTTCTAAATTTGGGCTGTTGTTGGAGGAATCACACCCCTCCCCCCAGCTCTCTGTCTGCTCCCCTTCTGGGGTGTGAGGGAACTCCTTCCCCATGTGATGCCCTTGGAGGAGGAGGAGGCAGCGGCATGTGCTGGCTCTGGGGGGGATTACTGTGTGGAGCCTGATGTGGCTTTCTCTTTCCCATCCCCTCTTAGGGTATGCCTAGACTGCAATAAAACACTCTTAGCTGGTCCAGGTCAGCTGACTCAGGTTCAATCTGTTGGGCTATAAAATCGCAGTGTGGACTTTCAAGCTCAGGCTGGAGCCTGGGCTCTCGGACCTTCCCCTCTCAAGGAGTCCCAGAGCCCAGGCTCCAGCCAAAATTTGAACATCTACACCACAATTTTGTAGCCCCATGAGCCCGAGTCAGCTGATCCAGGACAGCTGGGGACTTTTATTGTGGTGTAGACATACGCTTTGAAAGGCTGTCTGCACCTGGGGATCACAATGCAGTGTAGTGGTGTTTAGTGGTGGCACAGGCCTGACCTTACATTAAAATGTTTATATTCAGTATTACTTGACTTTCTACCAACATTTTACTGACAAGGTAAGTCGCTGAATGGAAATAGTGATTTTCAAAAGTTTCTATCACAGCCAGAATTTCCCTGGACATAGAAAAGGCACTTCTCTGGCCTGTGGGCTTTCTTCCTGTCAAAATCCATAAGTCTGCATCAAATGATAGAAGTTTTTAGACCGTCTCAAAAAAAGGTTGCAAGAATTTTTAATGTGGAAAGTGCTAAGCAACCTAGATGTTGGAGTTGCTACCAGAAATACAAATGTATGTAAGCATGATCAGGTTAAGGTTACTGTGAGGCCTGGTAACTTTTCATTACCTGACTTGAAGGTCAGTCATGTAAACACACTCTAATATAACTTCTTTTCTTAAAATTTTCCTGAGGCTTAGGAGGACAAAGGGGAAGGAGAAGCAATAGGGAAAATAGCTCGATCCTTGTTTTCATGGTTTGATCTCACTTGAACCCCTTGCTGGAATTATGACCCAATAATTCATACATGTTTGCTACTCCAGATGCAATTTCTGAAAAATGTACTGTACCTGATAGGTTTGCACCTTTTCTCAGCAATGAAAAGAAAATAAACTTTACTGCTGTGTACCCTTCTTTAATATATCTTATTTATAATATTATTTACTCTTCAAAATATATTAACTTTTTTCTTAGACATGTCGCTTGTTGAGGCATGTTTCTGGAACAGAGCCACTTGAAATTACTTGCATACATGCAGAAGACACCTTTCAGGTCACTGGCCCACAGGTATGCCTACCTTTCATTTGATCACATTTTAAGTAGAATTTTGTAAAATGGATATACACTAAGATAAACATTCAACATATGTTCTTGGAGGCATGCCAGTTCAGTTCACAAAGAAACATAATGAAAATATTACAAGTAGGAGGCAGTGTAAATATTTCTAGACAGGTGTCCAAGCTAGATCTTCTGGTACATCTTGATTTGTGCTCTAGACATTTTGGAAGACTGTGCAAAGCTGGCATAAAGCTCCTACAAACCCTGTGTGCTTTCCCGGCATGTGCTGTAGCTTCGAGTCTGCTTTAAATTATGCTGGCTTATACCAGCCACTTGGGGCTGAATATTAGCCCAGGACAGATGTAGAGTAGGGGTATCCTCACCATGGCCTCCTTTTCAGTGACTATGCACTCCTCTTCCCACCATGCCAGCAGCAAGGAGATTGTGTGGTCTGAGCCCCTGTACCACTGCAGGATCACTAGGGTTATCCACCATGGGCCGTTCGCTTGAGTGTTGTGGCCAAAGTATGCTAGCAGTGCATTGCAAAGTGGCCACAACCCACCCAAAGATCTGACCAGTCAGTCTCTTATTTATGTAGGGCAATTTTCACCTCTGTGCAGAGGACCAATATAAAGCTTATGAATCATTTAATTCCTGTTTTGAAAGTTTAAATAGGACTTCATTGGTACATAGGCCTTCACTGTCCCTTTGTACAGGGATGAATTTCACCCACTAAAAGCTTACACCTCCGTGCTTACCCAAGTATAAAATTATGCCACTACTACACATGTAAACACAGCCCACCAGCTATTTCAGGGGTTTAACAATATTGTGCCTAATAATAGTAATTAGTATTTACATAGTGCTTTATATTTAAAATGTATTTTACAAACACTGACTAATCATTTGTAAGTACCTATGGATAAATTTTCTTTGCAGTTGTCACACAAGTATATGCACAGGTAACTATATATTTTTATGTAGAACAATACTGCATCAAATACTGCATCCTTACCTATGTACAGCAATACTGTACCTAATATTTCATTCACTGTTTGTTTATCTATATGCCTGCCAGCAGATACCCCTGTAAAACACAAATAGCTTCTTTTAAAGTGCTAAGTATTTATTATTAGTCATTAATTATATTAGACACACAAGGTGGGTGAGGTAATATCTCTTATTGGGCCAACTTCTGTCAGTGAGAGAGAGAAACTTTCAAGCTTATGTGTTAACTACTTATGCTAAACAGACTGTTCTTCGAGTAGATGCAGCTGTGTATTCCACTTACGTATGTGCACACGTAGCGCACCAAAGCCAGAGAATTTTGCCTAGCAGTACCCGTAGAGGGGCAGCACTCATACCTTGTGGCCATAGCCCCTCCCCTGGCTACATGAGGCTGCGTTGCCCTGACCCCCCTCGCCCTGGCTGGAGTCGGCGCTCTGAATAGTTCCTAAACTCACTATTTTTTAGTGACTTTTCTAGTTGTATATAGCTAATTAGTACTCTTCGTATAGTGTTAGTTAGTTTAGTTTAATTATTTCCCTGGTGACACCCTCACCAGGGTTTAAACAGTGTCTGCTGTGTGGGGTAGTGATCCCCAACAACAATCCCCACACATGGTGTTTGCTGTGCCTAGGCGAAGTCCACATCAAGGAGCGGTGTTCGATTTGCAAATCATTCATAATACTGGGTGAGGGATCTTTTGTCAAAAGCAACACCCGCTAGAACAGGCCATTCAGCCTGCTTCAGCACTGCTGCCTAAGTTGGATCAGAGGTTGTTCTCGGGTTCTGATACTGCTGCTGTTTTGTGCTCTGAAGGAAGGGAGGAGTTATTCCCCATAGAGTGTGCTCATGAGAAGGTTGCATACGACAGATCCAGGTCGCTCCAGGTTTCATGGGGACTTGTCTGCCTCCTCCAGAAGGAGCACGAACTGGCACCATGTGAATACTGGTGTAAGGGATGGAGCAGGTCCTGTCAACTGCTTCCTGGTACCACACAAGGAGGTCTTGCAGTGGTGGAAGCTTCCAGAGAATCTTTATCAGGGTGTTCTCTTCGTCTGGCCCTTTTCAACCAGGTCTATTGTCACCGACCCCTCCCCGATGGGCTAGGGAGCACATCTGGGGTCGTTGAAAGGTCAGAGTCTGGTCAGAGCAGGAGTTCTCACTGCACATCAATGTGCTGGAGCTTTGGGCCATCTGCAATGCATCACCTGCTTTTCTGTACTGTATCCGGGACTCATGGTTCACATACTTACACACAATACCACTAGGATGTATCATGTGAACAGGCAAGGGGGAGCACACACCAGGATGCTCTGCCAGTAGGTGGTCAGATTGTGGTAGTTCTCCATCAAGGAGAGCATCACTGAGCAAGAATTTTTCCCTGAGCCACATGTAGTCTCTGAAGACAAGCATTCTCTGGGTCACCTTCACAGCTTGGGGAATTCCGTTGATCAGCTTGGTTGCCACAAGGGACAACAGGAAATGTCATCCGTTCTGCTCTTGATGGGGGCCTCGGTCCGAACTCCGTGTCTGACGCTTTCTACATGAGCTTGCTGTCAGTTCTCCTGTATGCTTTTCTCCCGATCATTCCACAGGTCATCCTCAAGCTGAAAGTGGATCAGGCCAATCTCATTCTCATTGTCCTGGCATGGCCAAGGTAGTGTTTGTTGTACAACCTTCTTGTGCTGTTAATTCAGTCTCCCATACCCCTTCCTCTCCATCCTGAGCGACTCACCCAGGATCATGGTTGCTCCGTATATGCTGTGCTCAGCTCCCTGTATCTCCTGACATGGCTGGCTTCGTGGCTAAATGAGGAGAAAATGCAGTGTTCGGAGGCTGTTCAACGAGTCCTGTTCAACAAAACAAAGCCCTCTACCAGAATGGCCTGTTCAACTAAATGGAAGCGGTTTTCGGTGTGGTTGTTAGCCCATGGAGTTCAACTGACATTGGTTTCTGTTGAGTACATCTTGGAGTACTTCTGTATCTTCAGTTGCTGGGCCTTGCACTTAGCTCATTGAGAGTATATCTGGCAGCAATAGCAGTGTTTCATCGCCCCATTCTGGGAAGATCAGTCTTCTCCAATGCCATAGTAGCAGGATTCTTAAAAGAGCTTCTTCATCTCCATCCTCAGATCTGGGAGCCGGTTCCTCTGTGGGACCTTAACATGGTCCAAGTGGCTTTAATAAGATCTCTATTCAAGCCCCTGGCATCTTGTCCCTTTCCATTTTTGTGTCAGAAAACTGCGTTCCTGGTAGCCCGAGCTGTCCCGGGTTACAATGAATCGGGGTGACTGCCCCGGGCCCCGCGCTTTAGTGAGGAGGTGGGTAGGCGGGGGGCGGCGAGGAGGAGCCCCCTACCAACTTCTCTCTACCCCCAGCACCTCCTGCCCACCAGCGGCCCCGCCAATCAGCACCTCCCCCTCCCTCCCAGCGCCTACTGCTAATCAGCTGTTTCACAGTGTCAGGAGGCACTGGGGGGTAGGTGAGAGGAGCAAGGGTGTGGGCGGAATTGGGTGGAGAAGAGGCAGGATGGGGGCGGGGCAGACTGGGGGTGGGGTGGGGCCTTGGGGGAAGGGGTGGGGTGGGGGCGGGGCCTGGGCGGAGCCAGGGGGAGAACCCCCCGGCAGATAGAAACCTCTATCCTGGGCCCCGTAGCCCCCTAGAGACAGCCCTGCTGTTTGCAGTAACATCCAGAAGGACAAAGTGACTTTACGATCACATTCAGAATTTTTGTCTGAAATGGTTTCTCAGTTGCATTTGAAGCAGGAGGTATATTTACCTGTGTTCTTTCCTAAGCCGCATTCATCTCCAGAAGAGCAGCATCTCTATATGTTAGATGTCAGGCGATGTCTAGCCTTCTACCTGGACCGGACTAAACCATTTCATGCTTCGCCTTGTCTCTTTGTGTCATATGCAGATCGTATGAAAGGGAAAGCAGTCTCTTCACAGGCTATCTCTAGATGGATAACATCTTGTATCAAGACTGCAGATGAAATAGCTTTGGCTGTGCCTCCTCAGTAGTTGTGAGCTTGTTCAATGAGAGCGCAAGGGATCTCAATAGCATTCCTCAGTGACATCTGAGTATTGGACATTTGCAGGGCTGCTATGTGGTCATCCATCCATACATTTACGCGCCATTATTGCATCTTCCAGAGTGGATGAAAGTTTTGGTAGGGTGGTCCTGCAATCCTTATTTAAGTAGACTTTGAGCCCTGCCTCCAGGGATGGGTACTGCTTGTGAGTCACCTAAGTGGAATACACGGCTGCCTGTATTTGAAGAAGAAGTGGCTACTAACTGTAATTGTGGTTCTTCAAGAAGTGATGCAGGCGTGTATTCCACGACTCTTCCTCCATCCCCTCTGCATTTGAATTTTAGACTCTGGGCATTCAGTGCAAAGTAACTGAGGAGGGTTGGGGTGGTGCTGCCTCATATAGCCAGGGGAGGGGCTAAGGCCATGAGGCCAAAGTGCCACCCCTCTACGGGTACTGCTATGCAAAATTCTCTGGCTCCAGCATGCTGGGCGCACACACACATAAGTGGAATACAAGTCTGCATCGCATCTTGAAGAAACATAGTTAAAGGAAGTAACCATTTCTTCCACCTTGTATTTAGTTGTGTCACTTTTCCCAGACCTGAAGAAGAGCTCTGTGTAAGCTCGAAAGCTTGTCTCTTTCAACAACAGAAATTGGTCCAATAAAAGATATATTACCTCACCTATGAAATACTTGTATTCTTTTACTTCTCTTTCCTGTTGTCTAATATGCTAGAACTCTTTGTCCATGCTGATTTTTAAAAAACTGTATTCACAAATATGTTTAATACCAGAATGTTCCAGCGAAAGGCCTTAGAAATATAATCGGTCTTTGCTCAACAGATGTAATATTAACCCTTTCTTAATGTTGACATTGTTTCTTGTTTTGTGTGTGGAGGCATTTGCAAATTAGCCTGTAACATTAAATGAGAAGATGGGTTTTTTAACATTTGTTGCTCTATTATTGCATTTTTTTTCCAGATAATTTCTGCTGCAGAAACACTGACATTACATCCATCTAGTAAGATTGCAAAAGAAAATCTTGATGTGTTCTGTGAGGCTTGGGAGTCCCAGCTGAGTGACATGTCCATGTTGTTAAGAGAAATCAATGATGTGTTTGAGGGAAGACGAGGTAAGAGTGCTGTTCATCATAACACAAGTGCAGCATTCCAAGTATTTTACCTGTTCTGTTAAGCTGCAGTGTAGCAAATATGCTGTTTTCTGCAGATGGATACAAAATAAACACTCCTTTTTTTAAATGACAACTTGGTATCTAGGTAATATTACATCAATTCAGTATATTAGTTTTATAGAAACAATGGATTGGAGTATAATTATCAGATCTGCTACATAAAATACAGAACACTTGATTTTAAAAACCTAAGGTTAAGACCTAGATCCTGTAAAAACATATACATGTGCTTAACTTCATGCACTATGTATAGTCCCACAGAAATCAAATGGAACTGCTCACAGTACATAAAGTTAAACACATGTTGTAAACCTTTGCAGGAATGGAGCCTAAAGGCTGAAGGAGTTATATGGTTTTCATATCCATCTATTGTCATGACCTAATATGTCACTGAGTGATACCAATCAAAATTCTCACAAATTGTAAACAGAACGTAAATTGAATTGTCTGACAAGTATAGTTTCATCATAGGGATTTGTATGATTAGTATTAGCATTTCAGTTTTATTTTTGAAGTGTAGTCTTTGAGTTTTCAAAATTTTTCCATTCTGCTAGGCTTTTCATTGTCCAGTATTCCTGGAAAACAAATATTTATTTTAATTCTGTACTATCAGCTTGAATTTTATTCACTTCATAATGTAGTGAATGTAGCTATTTGATTTTTGAACTGCTGTCCTTTCTCCTGGATGGAATCTCTGACGACTCCACACAATCTTGGGATGTTTTCTCTGGTTGGTAAGTTAACTGGTATTTGTACAACATGTAGAATACAACCATGGAACTTTGAAGAACAAATCTGTGTTTACTCTCATTTTAGTGTCACCTCTATATGGTATTCTTTTTTGAAAATTTAAGAAAATATCCTGGTGTTTCTTTTTATGTAATTTAAATTTTCTTCAAAAAGTTTGTCTTCAGTGCAGCTTGGCATATCACTTTTGTGCAGTTAAATGTTTGTCATTCTTCAGGTTAATATAGAGGTACAGTATAACATGCCATATATTTAGGCTTGGCAGAATTATGTTTATTTTTAAAAATAATTTTACTGGATAATGTTGCTGTTTATTTTTAAGCACTTTTAAAAAAAAACGTTATAGATTTAAATGTTCACAGTTGCAGGAAATTATTGTGGGGAGGGGGTCAGACAATAATTATTTAATGACAGGAGACGTTGAGATTCAAAAAGTTAAAGCTTCGAAGTGTTAAAACACAAATTGTCACATCACGTCAGAATATACAAAGTAAATATCCATAAGTCAAACTCTAGCAAGTTCTCTAGCACCATTTTCTTGTATTTTTCTAACTTCGCCTAGCTGTAAATTTCAGTCATCATCCATGGAAATACGTTGTGTGTGTGTGTGTGTGTGTGTGTGTGTGTGTATGGTGAAATCTACATTTACTGATAAAAATGTAATCCTTCCAAGCCTAAATATGTTGAATCTGTTTTGTGTTTTAAGAAAATTACTCAGGAAAATGCAATGATTTGGTTAAAAATTAGACAAACACAGGGATTTAACACAAATTTTTCATATCTAAGCTATCACTGTATGTTCTGAATCAGGGTAGACAGATTGTCATTACATACAGTACTTCACTAACTGACGACCTTTGAAAAAATCCTTTTGTTGAAGTGTCAAGCTAGTAAACCTTCATTTTTGTATTTTGGTGAACTTCTGCTACAAGGAATTCACCTGAAAATTGTTGTCTTTCTTGGTGCAAAGTCATATATTATCTGTGATGTTTTATAAAGTATGAATTAAAATATACTAAAACTATGAACAGGGCTAAATAAGCAGCATGTGATATAGCATAGTTAGGAATATGAAAACAATGGGAAACTTGTGTGTTCATGTTCTACCTGTTCCTCATCTTATTCTGGAACTATTGGATGTGAGATCCTGATTATGGGCCTGATCTTGCAAGAAGATGATAGCCCTCCGAGGGCACTCATTACCTCACAGGATCAGTCGCTAAACTGGGATTATTAACTTTCTCTGAGTTAAGGGAATTTATATTTTTGGAATTTCATCAAGAACTATGTAGGTAGGTTAATTCCAATTGGCAAATGCAGGTTAATTGTGCTCTTGAAAAATCAAGTAGAAAAATTATCTTTGTTATAATGTGACATCATGAAGAAGACATGTTCAGATTTATGGTTAGGGTTATAACTGAAGACATCTTTGCATGTCTTGAACAAGTTCCAATGCTTTTCAGACCATTTATCAAGGAAATCAAAATAGTTTGGGATTAGTTATGTCCGAATAACCCAACTTTCTTTCTTTAGTAGCAAAATGATGCTGTGTTTTAAATTACATTGTATCAAATGCTAACTATCTTTACTACAAGTTATGTAAAAATAGGAGGTTTTAAGACTGACTATGCAATTTGAAATCTATTGAATTCTTATGTATTTAGGAAATAGTTTCACGTTACCTCATTGGGATGGAGGAAAAACCTTTTTGGGTGTTCGTTTTGTTATATTTTAAATGTTAGAGCAGAACAGTGCTGTTTTGCAGCAAAGTATTTACTCATCACCCACAAAAATTGAATATTGGTTTTGAAGTAGGTTAGAGGACATTCCTAGCGTATCCTGTTAGCGACAGTTACTTTTCCTATAGTCTTCCATAGGCAGTGACTACAAGCCATATGGGTTCTGTACAGCTGTACGGTTAATATGCACCATGGCATTTGGGGCCAAATTGTGGTTGCTGCCCTGGACATTCTGAAGAGGAGATTGTGCTGTCTCCTTGTTTCTTAGTGTACCTGTGCATAAGGTAGCCATTATATGAATGCCAGACATGGAAGTTGGGGGGAGAAGGTGGATAGCCAGCAATGATAGAAACCTCATACCATGCATCAGCAGGGCTGGAGTAGATATTGGCTATTCCTGTTCTACAGGTGCAGCAAGGGACGTATTTCTACATGTTTATAGCACCCAAAAAGCATTATGTTAGGCATGTCTTCAGGCACTGCTCCTCCTTCCCATCATGGCTCAGCCTGCTGAGGGACATAACTGAGCCTTTTGACTCTAACTGGCTATTATAAAAGGGCCGGGGGGTGGGGGGGAGATACCTTTTTTAAAAGGACCCTGATAGAAAAATAAAATGGGGGTGAACCCCTCTTTGTATTCTCCATTATGTTTCACTTAATTTGATTTGTGGCTTATGATAATACTTAAGTACTTATGATAGTACCTCCATGGACTTCCAAATGTGGCTTGCCTTAGTGGCAATGGCTACCAGCAATAACCCTAAAAATCACTTTACCAGTTTCAGCATTACTTTGTTTTCTAGGAACAAGTTGATAATAGGTGAAAGATGAGGCTAAATATTTAATCATGTCATCATGAGATGACAATTTGTGGATGCTTTCATCAAGTAATAATCTCATCACATCCAGTCACAGTGTAGGGCTTGATAACATTATATTAGCATATGCAGGGCTGGCTCCAGGGTTTTTGCCGCCCCAAGCAGCGAAAAGGGGAAAAAAAAAAAAAAAGCCGCGATCACAATCTGCGGCACTTCGGCGGCAGCTCTACTGCCACCGCTTCAGTCTTCGGCGGCGGGTCCCTCACTCCAAGAGGGAGTGAGGGACCCGCTGCCGAAGGGCTGGACGTGCCGCCCCTCTCCGTTGGCCGCCCCAAGCACCTGCTTGCTGGGCTGGTGCCTGGAGCCGGCCCTGAGCATATGGTCTTGTTTCCCATTGTAAATTATACTACTTATTCTAAAATTGAGATTGGTAAAATCATCTTTATCTTACTTAGTACAAATGTGAGAAATACTTTGCTCTTATGAGTATGATTGAGTCTGTATAATAGAACATAAAAATGTAGGAAGATAGTGCCTTTTCTCCTTAATTCTGAAATTCAGAGTTTTTAAAATACTGTAATTTTGTATTGTCCCTCTAAAACATTTGGATTTGATATGGAGAGTATGATAGAACTAGTATTTAAAAGCCTGAGAGAAAGAAACCTTTGCTGTTGACAAACACTGAAGGGCAACCGAATGTTCTTGGCACATCTAATAAAGTAAGCATTTTCTATGTTGTTGATTCAAAATGTGTTTGTCTCATCTGTTGTTTGTATAAGCAGGTATGCAATTGATTTTACATCAGTGTTTATTAGAAGTATTAGCAAGCTATGCACTTTGCAAACTAAGATTTGATAATTGACATAGATTAAATAGAAAGCCTTCAATAAAAGGGGCCAAATTCACCCTGGAGGTAGGAAGATGCAACTCCATTTATTTCAGTGGAGTTATTCCAGTTTACACCTAGGTTAAATTTGGCTAATTGTTTTTATGATAAACAGTCTTTTGCAGGGCTGCATATACCTCATGAGAGAATTACTGCATCATTGGTCTGCAGGACTGTCCCTACCAAACAGTTGTTTTCTGAGTAAGGGAGAGTTGAGCTCAATCTGCCCTAGAACAGAGTGCCTGATCCAACCATTGCAGTCAGTAGATGTCTTTCTCATTGAGGGAAAGGGAGCAAGTGAGCAAAGCATTTTCCCCTTCTTCAATCTCCCTCTGCTCTGTGGTGTGCAAAGAAGAATCCTTTGACAGTTCCCCATGCCTTGAGAAGTGTAAAAGAATATCTTTCCCTTTAGTGGTCCCCCCTCTGTCCTCCTTTCTGAGGATTTGTGATTTGAGAGAGTTGATTAGATGTTCGGATTTGTGGGGGAGGAGAGTGGTGAACACAAGCAAAGGTAGTAGTTTTGGAAGGAACAGAGACTGAAGGAGCAGGGAGAAAACTGAGGGGTAGTATTGAGATAGCATGTGGTGGGAAAGGAGGATGACACAAGGACAAGGTAAAAAGAAAGAGACTGGAAGAAACTGAGGGGAAAATAATGATAGAACTATTAGAAGGTGGAACAGTAACAAGGAAGATGGAAGAAGAAAGGAGAGGTGAAATGATAAAAATTGAAAAAGACAGAGGAAAAAAAAT